CCTTTGCTTACTGATACGGAACATGGCTTATTTTCATGGCAAGACTATACGTAAAGCTATTTGTATTCAACTCTTATCGACCAGCATACACACACAGCTGTCTCAATAAGAGCCAGGAGAGTCAAAGCTAGCACGCACACACAGTAACATATTGCCTCACCTGGCAGCAAGAAAGTGAGTACAACGGAGGCATAACCCATTAATGAGAGAAAATATTGTGCAAACCCTTTTGGCACACTGTGAGAATGATAGCAGTACTGTGGAAAAACACTAAAACTTCACTAATGTTATTTTGTCGAAGTGTCAAAAACATTCCAAGTTAAAATCTCTGCAGGGTCTGGGAGTATTGAGAGGTCAGGAGATAGCATACAGTAGTAGAGCTTAATTCATCTGTCAGCAAACTCATTGAACAGACTATCTCAACCCACCAGACTCCAGACCATTGCTTGATAGAGCCACAGGATATCAAAAGATACATCATCCAAAACTGCTGGAAGCAGAAGGATCTAAAGTTGCCTAAAATATTGGATATGAGTTTGAATGCAACTTCACAGAAACTGTTCACCAGAGGAGCATTAAAAACCAATTTAGCCTTGGGATAAGACTTGCAGTTTTATAGCTGGGTAGAGTATACATTCTATTACTGTACATCGCTGAATATAATTAATAGCTGCAGTTGAAATATTTTAGTTGCAGTTGTTGTTTTTATCTTGTTGGAACTTTTTGTTTGTTTCAATTGGCTGTATTCCTGCATATCCTTTATTTAAAAGTGGTACCTTTTCCTTTATGTATATGTATATATATATATATATATATATATATATTGAACCCAATGATTCATGGTAACCGGCTAGTTTTCCAATTGTAATATTTTATTTATTGTAAAGTTTCTTAAAAAAAAAAAGAGTGAGAATAGAATACAACTTGATTTTTCTTTGTTTTGTAGAGAGGTTTTGTAATTTCTCATTTTAGAGATCTGTAGTATTACAGTTTTTCTATAATTTTTTTTTTAACTCTAATGGAATTTACATACAAACTTTTCAACCTAACAATGACTATTACGAATAAAAAGGGTCACCTTTGAAAACCCAGAGCAAAGAAACAAGGAGAAAACAGGAGAGAGATTGAGAAGTAGTAGGACTGAGAAGAGCTGGAGTGGATAGAGTGGGAATAGGAGGAAGAGGTGAAGAGGAACTGAGGGAGAAGAGACTGCGGGAGTAGATAGCACTGAAAGAGTCTAGGAAAGAGACAAGATGGTTTAAGAGGTGAGAAGAGAGGAAGAGGAGATTTCAGAGGGAGAGAACATTGAGTCTCAAATCAGATGAGAGTCATTCAAGTTGAATGTGTTATGAATTATGATCTCTTGCTGGACAGAAGAAGAATGTGAGCAGATCTACTATGGTACAAAAAAAAAAAGGAGAAGAGCAAGAATGCTATTAGTCCTGGGGTTATAAAATTATCTCATTTTCTTATGATTTGGGACAATGAATGAACAATTAATGGTCATTAGTGTAATGAGTAAATGTGTACATTGTACAGTGTACATGTCGCTCTTGCCATTAATTACACCATATTTTAGTATTAATCTATTCATTTGTGTGAATAGTGAAATGCGTGCAAGTAACCTTTTTTGAATATGAGGCTGTTCTAGTGCTGTCGCCCATCTATATATTGATTTATGCTAATTTCTTCTAATGCTTAAAACAAAAACAAAAAAATGTGTGCTTCACGCTGACCAAATATGAGCATATTAGTATTCATATTGTAATATTCATGTGCATGTTAACATGGTTAAAGAGCTCCATATGACAAAAACCTTGAAAGGTTAAATGCATCAGCTATGTTTTCAATGAATCCTTTCATGGACGGCTAAATCTCAATAGTTTTTCACTGAAGTGATGTAAAAATGACAAACTGATTGAATTCTAATTTTATACACATAGTTTTGTTACACTTTAGTTTATGTGAGATAACATACACCGCCTTTTGACTATAGATGTGAATATTTTTGCCTGATACGAATTACCTAATATTATGCTTGGCAACTGACAGATCGTGCCCCACCAGAAATAACTGAAAATCTGTAATACATTTCATAGCAAGTTCCAAAAAGCCCTAAAGCTCTTACAGCATACTGAATTGATGAAACGTTTCAGCTAAACACCTATCAAACAACAAAACAAATTGGCTACATTACTGAAAAACCTAAAAATTCTAAATCTTCTATATAAAGACCACAGACAGGAGGCGCGGCGCCGCGTCTCGCTCTTGTTCCAGACGGGGGACCCCCTGACGGAAAGCTTCAACCTCAAGGATCATTACAGTGCCAGACCAAACTAATCAACGCAGTGTTGGAGCTAATGAAACTCATCCATTCCCATTAAGTGATGGACATGGCAGGTTAACAGCGTTACCATGATGATGCAGTGATGGAAATCTGTCTTCATAACTCAGATTTTTTCAAGAGAAAAAAACAAAACAACAACTGAGATTATAAATATATATTTAACCAAGCTAAAAGGTTGGCAAGTGTACTAATCATACGGCATTTCAAAGCCATCTGTAGTCCCACTAGGAGAAACATTTAGTAGTAGAACTTCATTAAGTTAAATTATAGTAGTACAACGTGTGAAATAAGTGTTAAAAATCTGTAGCGATAATAAACTCTTCCATTCATAACCTATGAGAATTATTGCACAGATCTCACTTTAGTGTAATTATTATGAGTAAGCCAGAATTTGTTCTGAGGATACATTTCTGTAACATCTGGGAATGTATGACTGCAGCCATATGAAACATCCCAGAACTGGGAATTACAGGTTTCCCCGCTGGAGCTTCTCCTGTTGTCTTACTGGGTCTCTAATACACTTTGTAATGAGTGGATAATGTTTAGCTAATGTCATGGAGAGGAAAGCTGAGCTAATGAGGAAGAAGAAAATTAGCCATTGCACATGGGATTTCTACTTTCTAAACTCTTAAAATGGGCATATTTACCCTCCAGTGACTGCCATCTACGCTAAAAACACACAGATACGCTGTTGGATTAGAAGAATGATAAATAAACACTAATTTCACATATGTTTAAGGGCTAACATAAGATGCATACACCACATAAGGCACATATGTCCTTGTTATTGTGAGATGAGTTATTAAAATTCTCTTCAAACTGCAGTGCCATTCCTAAAGACCGAGAAAAACACCTCAGTGACATCCAGCCCTAATTAAGAATTATTGTGAGAGAGTTGCAAAGTAGACTTGCACAAATACGCACATGCAGAATAAAGCTCTGCTGAAACGTAGCCTGAGAGAGAACATCTGCCCACGCTTCTCTTCTCCCCACATCCAGAGAATTAGTGAAACAACGGAGTAGTAAACAACACAATGAGACTGAAGAAGGAGAGAGGGAGGACAGAACCCAGAACAACATCCAAAAAAAAAAAAAAAATATTTCCAAAATTTCCTTCTCACAGCCCACAAATACAAAAAAAAAAAAAAAATCTTTCCAAAACTTCCTTCTCACAGTCCCACAACATCCCATTAGTTAATTTACAATGTCAACATAACAGTGCATCCTACAGCTGTCACTCCAATTCTGACTGCAACATCCCACAACTCCTTATAAAACATTTAATAGTGACCTATTAATCACATGTAAACTTGAAATTATTTGTCCTCTATATACAACATGCACAATAATCTTTTCAAGACTTAGTTTAAAATCTCAAAATGGTGTTTAAAGATGTGGTTCAGCTGTTAGTGGTTAGAGGTTACAGCACACACTCCATCTGCATTGAGATCCAGTGACCTTGCTCCAATCATTTATCAAAATAAACTTCTGAGCCAAATTTATAATGTTTTTACAGATACAGTGTGTTTAAATACACTCCTACCTCCTGTTGTAATTCCCATGGAGGAAAAAAAACTCCAATAAAAATAAAATAATTGTTGTTGTTCAATTGCTAATAATAATAATAACAAATACAAATATAATGCATGTTTTAATCATTTTAAATATTTTTTAATCCACATTAAGTTATTTAATTGCATATCAAAACAACTCCTTCCTGCATTTTTCATTTCTGACATTACAAAACAACTCTAAACTTTCATTTTATTGATTTATTAATTGTTTTCAAAGCCTTCACTTACACTTGTCTATTACAGTGCTTGTTATTTCTCAGGGAAATGTGTCTGCAAAGAGGGGATTGAGTGAGCGTATGCAATACAGCAGCAGCAGCGACTGTGAAGAAACAGGATGAGCATGAGGAGAAGGAAGACATGTTCACTGACAATAGGAAACTGAGACTGGTCACGGTACTGCAATGTATAGATGCCTATAGCAACACTTATTTCTATAAAAAGTGATTAAAAAAAGCACAAATAAATATTCATGGGAAATATATGTTGTGTGCTGTAGAGCTGCAAGAAAGTGGGCAAAAAGAGAGAATTCATCCACAAACTGTTGGCACTGCTTGGCATTTTCTCTTTGGTGTGGGTACTTGTCGCTGAAATTTTATCGTGTCAAGTATTATATAATTATTTCTTGGCATGAAAAATCAGTGTGTACTTAAGGCTTGACAGGTGATACATTGCCAGATCTCTGTGCAAATAGGTTGAGGGTCTTTATGAGCAACGCAAATGCAAATAGCACATAATGCTCAATCAGAATAGCATTATGAAAATCAGCCTTGCACCTGATGTGTTTGTAAACACTGGTATTAGAAATGGGGCTCCCTCAGAAAAACAAAAAACAAACTGTCTTCGTGAATTGGGTTCAGAAAGTTCAGATATGGGTGTACAAAATGTGCTGTGAAATATTGGAAGCACGACAGAGAGGCTAACACAGGACGAGAACTAACGAGAGGTCAGAGCTGAGTCTGTACATGTGCTGCATGAAAGAGTAAGTCACAGCAAATTTGAAAAAGTACCAGAGAGTAAAGGTGATAGAGAAAGAGACAGAAGGAGAGAAAGAGAGTTGGAGGTCATTTGTTCAGACTCACAGTGGAGAAGTTGTGAGCTCCACAGGGCTCTCCACGGTACTTGCAGGCCAGTAGCATATCCTCCAGCTGGTGGCCCAGTCGGTCCATGAACTCCAAGCTGGTGCCCTCGAAGCGCCGTGGAGGCAGGAAAAGACGGAAATCTGACAGCTTGCTAAACCATGCCTGTCTGTCATCTTGAAGCAGGTCCAGCACCAGGGGTCTGGCTGTGCGGTTGGCCAGCAACAGTCCGAGCCAGTGACCCGCAAAGTACAGATCGCTCTTAGTGAGGTGATACAAACGTACTGCGTTATTGTTGCAGATGGTAACCGTGGGAAAAGCGAGTTCTCTTGCCCACTCTGTGTGGACTCTTGTGTGAGTGGGAAAGGCCAGCCAGTGAAGCAGCCGATTCGAGGACCAGGACAACAGAAGACCCAGACAAGTACAGAAGGCTAGCATCCAAAAAGCCCGGCGGCTGAGAGAGTTAGACGGGGTGCAGATGTGCCGCAATCCGTGGAGGCGAGTCCGCGCTAGGAGGGCTGCCGTGAGGTGGGACAGATCATCTCGTGGTGTTCTGGGTCGGGTGCGGCGACGTCGGGCCCTGCGTTGGCCCGGTGTGGGCGAGGCAGGGCGCAAACAGCGGCCTTCCAGAGCCATGAGGGCCCACAGAGCTGCTAGAGCAGCAGGGGGGACGGCTTCATCTCCCAGCCAGGCCTCCACGGCCGGGGCCCTCATGGGGCTCCAGGAGCACGGAGAGAGCCACAACACTGACTTCCTGAATACAAATCTAACGTTCAGAGTCCAGCAATCAAGTCACGTACTGTTGTAGCACCTGCAGGACAACTCTAAGTTTAATTGAAGTGTACAATCCCAACTCTACTTCAGCTTCCACTTTAATATCCTGTCAAATGTATGCAAACTTCATTTCAGGACTGAATAATCACATTCATGCACAAACACACTGCTCTCTAAGGTACCCAAAATTCAGTATATGTCTTCATACCCGCTGGCAACTCTCTATAACCCCTCAGGCAAAATCCCTAGTCTATTTTCCTTGTCCCTCTGTCTCTTTCTAGCTCTCTCTCTTTCACTTGCTCCCACCCCAGTCCATCTGGTCAGGGTGCCCAGACTTAGTCTGGCTTTGGGGACAGCCTGAAATCTCCCTCTGAGCTTCTCCCAGAATCTCCTGAAGTTCAGGCGAGTGAATTGGAAAGAATGAGGCAGTTACATGGGAAGTGATCTTAATGAGAGAAAAGATTCAAAAGATACAAGACAGATTGTAATAGAGAATAATGAAAAAGAGATGGATTGTGAGAGGTAGAGCCAGCTGAGTCACAAGAAAGAAGGATCTGAGAGAGTCTCCAGACAGGCTAACTTGTTGGTGAAATAGACTGTCTTGGGCGAACCTTTTCCACAGTCCGTGAAGAGAGGGTTTTTCCCAAAGACTACAACTGACCCCACAACCCCACGATCACACTCATCTTGTCTTTTTGACTTTTTTTCTCTAGCTTTGACAGTGATACAGTACTGACTTTTTGCCATCCCATCTCTATGTGTCTCTGTCCTCAACTATGGGGGCACATGGGCAAAAGCCTGGTGTTACAGAGGTCGTACTTTGTGCTAGTTCTCACACACATACACACATACGCACACACACTGACTCTTGCCTGCAGGAGGGCTGAATGCCGCTGATGTGGAATCTGTTCTGACATGGTCCGAAATCAGCATCTCACTCTCTCCCTCCCTTTTCCATCCTTCTTTTAGACTGAAACGGCATCCTTTATCTTTGTCTCCTTTGTTTTTCCTTTGCTAAAAATATCCATTCCCAGAAAATCAAATTCTTCAATTTGCATCCATGTCCCTCCTCTTTACTCTGTCAATCAAAGCATGCTTGCTCCTCCCCCTGCCTCTTGCATGCCTCCTCTTGTCCTTTATCGTTGTCTGGACGCTTCACTTCTGCCTCTTCGGTTGCTCAAAAGAGAGAGAGTGCGAGCGAGCGACAGAAGCTGCTCGGCATGTGAGCCTTTGCTTTCCTTTCCACTGTTTAATTGCTCTGCTGTTGCTGCCACGCCACTCTCGTCTTCCCTTTCGCGCTCTGTCGGTCTGTTTGCTCAGCAATCCTCTCCTCCTTCTGGGTCACTCCATCCATTCACTCCTCCTCCTGCTCTGTCGTTTCTGTTCTCGCCACACTCCTCCGTGTCCACACAGCCAGCGCCTGGCTCAGCCTGTGCCAGCTCTCTCTCTCTCACTTTCTTTCTTACTTACTCTCTCTCTCACTCTCCCTCTCTCAAACTCTCTTTATTTGCCCGTATGTTTTGTTCACTGTCTGCTTCCTTGAACAAGGCTGAAAAGAAAGAAAAGAATCCCTCTAATGTTTCTCTTTATGAGCTTGTTAAAAAGTAAAATGGTGTCCTGTGTGTGTCAGCATGTAGGAGGCTTCCTTTTGTGTAGGAAGAAAAGCCAAAAGAGCTCACTGGTGTCCCACACTTCCTATCTCTCACACTTATATTTGATGTCACCTCTTTTTCTGTCTTTTACATACATATTTAGTGTTGTTGTTATTTTTTTGGAAGAGAAAGGTTTGGCACACTTGTATATCTTGCAAATCTTTATTAAATATGATTTTTGGATATTTTAGTTTCTTCTAGCATGACTGAAATGTTATTTACTGAAGATTTACATGACATTGCATAGAATGTTTTCGAATAGCACTGATTGTTACCTATGCACCTGCTCGTGACCAATTCACTCAACTATTTATTCTTCCATTGAAAAAAAATGTATACCTAAAATGCTTACAAATTAAACAAAAAAAAATCTTACGAGTTTCCTTCTTTTGTTGAACATTAAAGGAGATATTTTGAAGGATGTTAGTAACCAAAAAGTTGTTGGTCCCCAATAACTTTCATAGTATAGAATAAAATACTATGGAAGTCAGCGGGGACAAGAAACTGTTTGGTTACCGACATCCTTCAAAATATGTCCTTTTGTGTTCAGCAGAACGAAACTAAGACTTAAGAGTGAGTAAGAAAATTACAATTTTTGGGTGAACTAACCCTTTAAGGTAACAATTGCAGGTTATCACATTTTACAGTGAGTGCATGTGTGCATTCCTTCATTCATTCGTTCATTTGTTCCTTTGTTTGTTCGTTCATTCATTCATTCATCATTTTCCTCCCAAGTTTTCACACACATATATAATTAAAATGACCTGTCAGAGTCTTGGCCACATGAGTGCATGTAGATGAAATTTTGCAATAGGCAGACAGATACAGAGTCACATCACCAAAAATTTAGAGAGCAACAGATGGAGTGAGAGTTGGTTTAATCACAAACTGAATATATCACACACTATAACAAACTGTTTTGACTAGATACTCACATATTTGATATATCCCATGATTCTCTTCCCTATGTGTTTTTTATTTGCACACACACACACACACACACACACACACAACACACACAAAACACACAGTTAGGTATTCTTATTGAAGAACAGGCACATGAGTCATCGGGAGATGCAAATAATGTCAAATAAGGCTTTCTTAAAAAATAGTTGACCTCAAAATTAATTTTCTCACCATAAACATAAATCTGTATGATGTTCTTGTGAAACTTTTTTTATGTGTTTTTTTTTTTTCAATTAACAAATGCATCTCGTTAAAATTGACTAATCTATTTGTTCATGAACCACACTGATCTAGTCAAGTTAACACTTCACTGGATGATCTGTCGGTTTGTCACACAAACCTATTGCGTGGCTTCAAAATATTTGGAATATAGCACATAAATCACATGGGCCACAGATTTTCAAATTAATTAATTTCTTTGGTCCACAGAACAAAACATAGAGATTTGGAACAATATGAGGGTGAGTAAATGATGACAGAATTTCCATTACTTACAAGTAATTTGCTTGAAAACCAAAAGCAACATTGAAAAAACAAAAGATTTTAATCCCACAGAAATTGTTGAATAAATTCTTATAAATACTTTAATAAATACATTATTTATAAACATACATGTGTATGTATGTATATATACCCTCTGGTATATATATATATATATATATATATACAGTATCTCACAGAAGTGAGTACACCCCTCACATTTTTGTAAATATTATATTATATATTTTCATGTGACAACACTGAAGAAATTACACTTTACTACAATGTAAAGTAGTGAGTGTACAGCTTGTATAACAGTGTAAATTTGCTGTCCCCTCAAAATAACTCAACACACAGCCATTAATGTCTAAACCGCTGGCCACAAACGTGAGTACACCCCTAAGTGAAAATGTCCAAATTGGGCCCAAAGTGTCAATATTTTGTGCGCAAAGTGTCATTTCTTCAGTGTTGTCACATGAAAAGTTATAATAAAATATTTACAAAAATGTGAGGGGTGTACTCACTTCTGTGAGATTGTATATATATATATATATATATATATATATATATCAAAAGGGAAATGCAATCAGAAGCTTACTTACCGAGATGTGTGTCTGTGTGTCTTGCACAGTGGTGCAAAAAGTTAGATATTTCATGATTATTCAGTCTTCATTATACTGGCAAATACATTTTTATCATATTATGTAACTCAGCTATAAACCAAAAGGAATTACTTAACATAAAAATGAGACTATTTTAGATTTAAATTGGCAAAATATATCTATTTATCCATATTAACATTACTAGCCCCATTTGTATGTATTTTTTATAAGACCTAATAAAATTACAATAAATGTGATTTATAATTAATCGGCAAGACTTGGAGAGCTAAATTCAAATTCATGACTTGACTGAAACCATGTAACTTGGGAACTGACTTTAATGGTCAGACCTGGGACTTGACTTTGTCTTGTAAAAATTGTCTTGGACCAGTCTAGCAGTTGCCTGAACGTCCCCTGAGGCAACATATTGTTAGAGTAGAAAGAAAAAAAAATGTAAATGATTTATGCATAAAAGGTCATTGTAATTCCAGCTAGCAAACAACAGAGAAATTGGCACTGATTTAAGGCCAGAGGTGAACTGGTGCGTAGCCTTGCATAAAACACATTTTAATTAATTTCCAACAGAAAGATTCATATTCTCTTCATCACCCTCAAATCATGAGTACAGTCTATAACTTCAGTCTGGAGCCTTTCAGCTATTACTTATCAGTTAGCATCGCACTTCCCCTAGGATCTCATATCCTACGAAGAGTATTCAAGCGGCCTGGACACCAGTGCATCTATTAACTGCTGTTTGATTCAGTTTCAGTAAGTACAATCCAGTACATTTGCATCTGCATTGTGCCTTTCATTATAAAATTGCGGTAAGTACAATAAAAAGGACAGAAGAAACCTTTAGCTTATCATATTAATTTTCCAAGTATGTGAGGCATTCAGTTTCACAGCAAGCATGTACGTAACTGATTTTACTATGCTTTCTTTCAGGCAGATTTTTTATCGAGTGCCCATATGATCTCAGCATGAAAGTAGCCCTTCAACATGACCTCTTATCTTACCATGTTAACAAACACAACTGAGTACAAAAGAACATAAGCATAAATTCACAGCGATCGGAAGAATCTTTAACACAGCATGTCGCCTCACAAAGGCCTGAATAAAAAAATTACAGATAAATCTCAACACAATGGTGTACAATATGTCATACCACAGCAATGACTGACACAGACCAGCATTTCAAAATATTCTTCAATAATGATATGAACCAAATCAACAACAAAAAATGAAAAGAAAAAAAAAGAAAACGTACTCGGTTACTAACGTAACCTCGGTTCCCTGAGATACGGAAACGAGTACTGCGTCTGCTTAGGATGGGAAAAAAGCCTTTTTTCTCCTGAACTGAAGCCTTTTCATTCACGCAGTGAAACAGCACGGCCATTGGTTCGTGCAGTGCTTAAAAAGCGAACCAGTGGCTAGGCAGCGGAGTTGCACGAGCCTATGGCGACGAAGCCCGCCAAAGCCAGCCAAAGCCTGCCAGAAAGGGCGGGGCATCTGGCTATATATGCGGGCACTTGCCACAGGAATCTCAGGTTACTTCGACTGAAGCGACGACTGAGTCGTACAGCTACATAGCACGGCTAGCAACGCAATACTTGTTCCCGTATCTCAGAGAACCGAGGTTACGTTAGTAACCGAGTACGTTCCCTTTCGATACTACACTCGTACTGCATCTGCTTAGACGCATATGGGAACATAGTACAATCACGCTGTGCTAATATAGTGGAACGACTAAAGGTATAAACTTCCATAAGCAACCAATGCTCAAAGAGAAGTTAACAATAACCCAAGGCTAAGACGGGCTGAGCTTCCTAGGTCGCACCCGGCCTGGTTATTCGTTCCAGAGTACTCCCGTAACTTCGACACCAAGGGGTCGAGAGTTAACAGGTGACACAATGCCAGAGAACTTGGGCATGATACGGCCAAGGGCTCTCTGCCAGATCTGTTTACGCAGCGCATGTCACTTCAAGCGGAAAGGACCCTGGCCTGCAAGGCCGGGACTTCCAGGTTATAAAACCTTGCCAGGCAGGCAGTGCTAATTGAGAGCGCCTGCAGGTCCCCTATTCGCTTTACTGATGCTAGTGCTAGAAGCAGAGCAGTCTTTAGCGATAGCGACCTAATGTTGGCGGCCTGTAGCGGCTCGAAAGCGGGGCCCTTCAGGGCCCTCAGCACAGTGGTCAGGTCCCATGAAGGGACGGTAGGGGGACGAGGCGGATACAGCCTCCTAGCACCCCTCAGGAAGCGGATGACCGCGCTATTTCTGCCCACCGATTGACCCTCAATAGGGGCATGAGAGGCCGCTATAGCCTATATACATGCTATATACATGATAGCATGTCCACTCCTTGGTTCAATTTGCCCGGAAGATGTGGAAGCCTTTTTCTGCCTTCGACCAGTGGCCGAAAGTCAGCATGTCCTCGCACAGTGCCCCCCAACCTGAGTTGGAGACATCTGTCGTGACAACTGTCCTTCTGTGAACCATCCCCATGGCCACGCCCTGTTCCATCCAGCGGGAGTTCTTCCAGGGGACCAGGGCTGTTACACAGGACTGACTCACCCTGATCTGCAGGCGTCCGTGACGCCACACATGGGATGGAACCCGTGGCTTCAACCAGAGCTGAAGGGGGCGCATACGCAGCAGACCCAACTGTAGCGCTGGCGATGCTG